CCACCTTGGGTCCAGAGGAAAACGCTGCTGATCTGTGAGGTTTCTGGGCACTACACGCCCAACTTTCCTCAGTTCGCCTAATATCCAAAAGCTTGTCAAATAGGGGGTTCAAAAATGTACCCCTTAACGTTCGGCAAGCTAACTACCATGATGATGAAAAGGTCGCAGAGAAAACAGCATTAAAGAAGAAGTACTCTTTAAAGGGAGACTGCACTTGTCTCCACAGGTCAGTTACCGTGTCTAAGGTTCAGCCGTGGTCGTAGGTTTTCTTTCCCTACCTCGATTCTGAACTGCTACTTTGAAGTACGTTTTATATTTATTTTTATGTTAATTCCTTAAGTGCCTCTTGTATACCACCTTTAGTTATATCTGTTATTCCATGGTCGTCGCGAGTATTCACTGCGGTGCAGAAAACGCGAAGGCAAGGATTGCAAAATGATTACGAAATAGTCACACTCTGCAGACTAAACGTCCCTTGATTTTCTAGGCTATGCAGGTTTGTAATGCCCTTATGAAATTCTGTCAATACGTGACTGTTGAAGGGGAGGGGGAGGGGCGAGGTGAGAACCAAAAGCGTCCCAGTCCATTGCTTACGCCGCCTGGTTAATTTTCTTTCCACAGACGCAAACGACCTTATTACTGAGACGAAGCACTGAGAAGCACTGCTCCAGCGATCGAGAAACAGAAAAGAAGGCTTTAATAGGTACCCCCTATCCCATTTCCTCCTTGTGCATACCTTTCATTTACCATAAAGACCGGCACCTCTCTCAATTTATACTCGACGCTACGTTCATCTAGTCCTCACGAATGAGGCCGCAGGGCGCAGAGAACCGCGAAGCCAATAAATCCCCTCCCCGTCCCTCCCCTCCAATTTTTCCTGCCCTGATTACCTTTTTTGGGACGCATCTAATTACAGACCAGTGAAACCGTATCCTCAGGCTGCCAACTAGGCTGCCTGTTACTCGAGGAGTGCTCCTACGCTCGACCCGGCACCTGCCCAGCAAGGATGAGGTCTGTCCCACTGCACGAGGGACTGGAGGGCGGGGAGGAAGGGGTGGACGCCGAGCAAAAGGATGTGGATGTGGATGATGTGGACGAAGATGCCACAGCGACCGGCAGGCCCCAACTCTCGCATTTTACCCGTCCTGCCGGCCAGTCCTTGCGCCAGGCCTGTCTGAAGGAGTGCCACAGCGATACCTCGTGCCCCATCCTGCATCAAAAGTGTTGCCACTACGGTTGCAATTCCGTATGTTCAGAGGTAAGTCATTGGAGTTCGAGCACAGGTCCTGGGATAGAATTAGAAAAAGTAAAATAAGGAATCGTCAGGTAGGAGTTCATTTTTGGATGAAGTATCCACAAAAACGTAAACAAACTATCTTACTTAAGTAGCAGAATTTAATGGCACCATAAATTTCGCGAGCGCTCATCAGCCGC